CCCAGCTCTCATATATATTTTAAATAATCTCTAGCTTACTGTACTTATAATACCAAATACTATATGAATGCTTAGTCAAAAGTTGTTATGTTGCATTGTTTGGTAAAATAACGAGGACAAAAGTTGTACATGTTCAAAACAGATTCAGTGCTCTTTCAAACACTTTTGAACACCAGTTGACTGAATCTAAGATGCAGAAACCATAATATGAGAGATCAGTTTTATTTAATGTCCAATTATTTGGACCTTTGAAAAAAAGTCTTAAATTTCTAATTTTATTCAAGACACTTTATGATTTCAGTCTATTCAGATTTACTGAGACATATGGTCTATCATGGTGAATATTTTATGTGCCCTTGAAAATAATGCAGATTCTAGTGCTGAGTGTAGTGCTATGTGACTGTCAATTATGTCAGGATAGGTTGTTCATCTCCTCTGTGTTCTTAATGACTTGGGGGGTTACTTGTTGGGGGAGAGTAAATATCTAATTAAAATTCTAATTATTCTATTTCTCTTTATTTATACCTGTTCTTGTGTAAATTATTTTGAGACAGATGCCCTGCCTATGTGGTGCTAAGGAGGCAGATAAAAGGTCTTGGATTCGGGATTTGTGGGGTTTTGTTTTTTGTTTTTTTGTTTTATTTTGCCAGTTTTTTAAAAAGTTGGTTTAGTTGATAAGACTTTGTGTGTGTGTGTGGGGGGGGTTCTGGGAATCGAACCCAGGGCTTCTCAAATGGTAGGCAGGTGCTCTACCACTGAACTACCCACCCCCATCCTGGAATGTATTTTGAAACTCTGATTTTGACACACACCCAATGTAAAGTCTGATGAATTTGAGACATCTATTATTATGGAAGCATTGTTCTTTTGCTCTAACAGGGTGTTTGTCTGAAGGTCTCATTTACTCTGATATTACTCTGTCACATGCTTGCTGTTTGGTAGTATATCTTTTCCATTTTTTAATTAAGGCATTTAAATTTTTAAAAAAATTTTATGTGTATGAGTGTTTTGTCTGCATGTATGTAAGTGCACCACATCCATGCAAAGCCCACAGAGGCCAAAAGAGGGTGTCAGATCCCCCTGGAACTGGAGTTACAGATGTTGTTAGCCACCATGTGAGTGCTGGTAATTGAACCTGGGTCCTCTGGAAGAACAGCAAGTGTTCTTAACCGCTGAGCCATTTCTCCAGGCCCCCCATCTTTTAGTTTAAAGCTATTGGTACCGTTATATTTAAAGGTACTACTCCAAATCTTAGAACCTTAAAATAACCACCATCTTATCTCTCAAGATTCTTTGGATCAAAAATTTGGGCAGGACTTGACTGAGTAGTTCTGGTCCTTTGTCTTGGGTTATTCATGTGGTTGTATCCATCTTGAACAGAGGTGGAAGGTCCAATTAAGTCTCAGGCAGCTGACTGTTTCTCCATGTGACTATGAGTTTTCTCATTATATGGTGTCCTGAATTTCTTTTGTGATGGCTAGCTTCTAAGAGCCAGTGCCACTAACACAGTTATTTTGAGTTCATGTGGTCCTCTTTCTTCCTTGTTCATAGATACTGAATTTTTTCCCAGGTAATTTATTTTCAGGCTTCAGGGAAACCTGTCTTTCTCTATTGCCATAGGATGGATAGAGATTAGCTTAATGGCCAAGTTGGAATTAAAATCTATTCCTTTTGCCAGCAACCTTTTTACAGACAGACCTGGAACACAACTCTGGATAAAGCTGGGATAAAGTCATGAGGGCTTTTGGAAAAAAATGTTCCTTATGTCTTAAAAAGTGGCCCATCAAAAGAATGTTCCTGAATGCACTTTATACGTGTATGAAATTGTCAAAGAACAAATTCAACTACAGTTAAAAAAAAAAAGAATATTCTGTTTTGGATTCTATTATCTGCACTTAATACCACCCTGAAGAATCCTAGAACCTGTAAGACCCAGTCCCAACACTTACCCTATTGTCATAAGGCACAGCACAGTATCAAATAATTGTGAGTTCTTTACACCAAACACTTTATAAAAGTACAAATACCGTGACTCTGTTTTTCGTTTCTACCTTAATTTCTTTTCAGGTCTCAACCTTGTATGTCTTTACTAATAGGCAGCCAGACAGTTAGCCAAGTTGATTTTGGAGTGCTGGAAAACCAGATGTAGTGTTGGACGGGATGAAGCTAATCACAGGCCATAAAGAGACCATTAGAGGAGAGTGTGAAGACTGCAGCTTCCTGTGAATAAGACCCTGCCACACTAGTGAGCAGGCTCATCACCCTGGGTCTGCCTCTTCTGGCTGAGCCCTTTCTCTCTTTGAGCAAATAGACAGGGAGGCAGGCCTGTCTATTGCTGTGCTCTCTGATCCTCTGCTCTGACTAGCCCCCAGAACTGTTTTCTTACAAGGTCTGAATTTGATCACCATAAAATGATTATGTCATCACGACAAGTGGATTGTGAACTAAATGTATTGGGTTGACAGTGAAGATCAATGCTTTCTCTCTTTTCTTTTTTTCAAAGGAAGTTCCTTTTGACAGAGGCCATTAAGGGACATTCTGTCCACCAGAACTCAACATAGAAGATGGAGTTTTCTTTACTTTTCTACTGGGAAAAATTAACTTCAACTCATTGATAATTTGGCTCAATAAGAAATAAAAATACACTGAGCAATGTGTGAGGGCTTTTAAATAATCAATTAAGGAAGAAAGCATTTAAAAATAAAAGCTAAACAATGGTTTCGCATCCTCTGTATAAAGCATCTAATGGGCCTCTACTGCTATTTTTTTTTTTTTTTTTTTTTGTCTTTTTAAGACTTCCCTTCTACCCCAAACAAATCACAGGCAAGTAGTTCCTTTGTAATACTTTATACATCTTGATGATTGGAAAGGCAATATAGTTTGGGTTTAAAAGTTTTTCCTGTCTATCTGCTTTATAATGAATATGACTTGGGGTATGGTTCATTGGCAGAATGCTTACCTAGTGAAGGCCCTGGCATTGATCTGCAATGTTGCAAAAACAAACAGAAGTATTTTAAATACTCTCTTTCCTAAGTGTCTTTCCACAAGTATCTTTTCTAAGTGATGTATAAAGTTTCAGTTCTACTACTTAACTGCTAACACACACACACACACACACACACACACACACACACACACACAAAGTCTTGAGGTGGAAGCTCTGATGGACTAATCAGAATCATTTAAAGAAACACCTAGGAAATGGGCTGCTCTTGCAGATACTCCGTGAGATTTTGAAACACCATTGTCAGGAAATACAAGCAATCCCTGAAACTTTTCCCCCTGGGTTATCAGAGTCCGAGACAATTGATGACATTACATCGGTCGTTCATTTTAGATTCGTGGAGCCCACAAAAATCAATAGTTTTCCATTATCAGGTCCAGCTGGGTCACTAGTCTGTCAATGAGCTGTTACAATTGCTGTACAGGGGTGAGCCTGACCAGTCAATTGCTGCTGACAAGAGGAAAACATGCTGACAGGCACGGGAACAAGTCAGAACACAGATTTGCACTTCAGTCTGCCATCCGAAGAGACTCAGCAAGACACAGGGCACGCTCCCTGGGAGGTCTGGGGCCCAGCCAGCACCCTCTGGCTTTATAGCACAAGCACCTCAGAGCCTGTCCTGGCTCTAGACTGCTCCTACAGAGACTATCTATAGTCACTGCCTTTGTTAGAAGGTGTGTACCAGCCACAACTGTCCGTAAACAGACCACATGATACCCAGAGAAAGGTCAGCAGGAGGGAACCTACTTTTACTACTGCTAAACCAGATAAAGTTACACATATTGTCAGGATATAAAAACCAAGAGAAGGGTGCTGGGGAGATGGCTTAGTGGGTAAAGTACTTACCATGCCAGTATGAGGTCCTGAGTTCAGATCCACATGAAAAGCCAAGTGTGATGGTATATACTTGTAATCCTGATACTGGGGACACAGAGACAGGAGGATCCTGGGAGTTCACTGGCCTGATATTCTTGATAAATCAGTGACTTCCAGATTCAGTGAGAAACCTTCTCTCAAAATAAGGTGGAGATACAGGAAGACACTTGACATCTGACACCTACATGTGCTCATGCATGTGTGTGCATATACACATGCATGTACTGGAACATGTACACATGCACACATATACCACACACACATACACAATTAAAAAAAAATCTTATGTGTATGAGTGTATTGCCTGCATGTGTGTAAGTGCATCCGTGTCATACATTGCCTGAGGTGGTCAGAAAAAGGTGTTGAATCCCCTGGAACTGGAGTTATGGATGGCTGTTAGCCACCATGTGGGTGCTGGGAATCAAACCCAGATCCTCTAGAAGAGCAGCAGATGCTCTTAACCTCTGAACCATCTCTCCGGCCCCACATACACAAATTTTTAAGAGGTGATAAAGGAAGGAAATTGCCCAAAGACACCAAACCTGACCACATCTGACTAGGCATATTGCAGAGGAGGACTGGCTGTGGACAGACAATTCTCTAGCATGGCTGCATAGTCTCTGTCTTGTTGCTTCATGTATAATGTAGCATCGTCCATACTTTGGTTCCAGTGTGAGATATTTAATTTTTAATTTTTTAATTTATTTTTATTTTATGTGTATGAGTGTATTGTCGGCATGTAGGTAGGTGCCTCTGTGTCATGCAGTGCCCTTTAAGGTCAGAAGAGGGCGTCGGATTCCCTGGAACTGGAGTTATGGATGGTTGTTAGTGGCCATGTGGGTTCTGGGAACCGAACCTGGATCCTCTGCAAGAGCAGCCAGTGCTCTTAAACACTGAGCCATCTCTCCAGCGCCCCCAGTGTGAGATATTTAACCAAATTAAGCAGCCTTTGTGGGTGTCTTATTTATATCCCTCTGTCTGAAGCAGTGGATGGCATGGGAAAATGAGGTGTATTCTTGCCTTGCCTATGATTAGGAAGTAGGATATAAAGTGGTAAGCCTGAGGCGGGTATCCTAACAGCCCCACATAATAAAATGGAGAAGTGTCTGCCTTGCATACTATGTCACAAGATTGTCAAGAGATTCAAAATAAGGCAGGTGAGAGAACTTTGGCTAGCTCTCTCTCTCTCTCTCTCTCTCTCTCTGTGTGTGTGTGTGTGTGTGTATCTTACAGTGAGAAGGCTGAAAGCAACTGAAAGAGGTCTTTCTGTAGAGTGGCTGTTTGGTAAGTATACCCAAGGCTGTCCTTCATTCACTGAATACTTGAATGATCTTTAAAGACCTCCATGAATGAGAGCTAGAATTTAGAAGACAGCTCAGAAGTCCCAGTGGCCTTTGTGGTTCTCCCTCATTTATAGAGAAGGGGAGTTAACTGGTAGCAGAGAGAATAGACTGTCTAGGGGTCTGCAAGCTCAGAGGCTTCCAAAACATCATGGACTTGTAGCATGTGTGGGTCTCTTTATGTTGGTTTGGTTTCAAACATCAAACTTAAAGAGCTCAAAAGATAAATATTTTGAATTTGTTTCAATATTATGATTTTTTAATGTTCTACTTTTATTAACATCTTTTCAAGTATTAAATTACAGCTCCTAATGCCTCCAGTCTGGTTCGAATCGTTTGGAAGTCAACATTCACTTGTGTTCCTTCATCAAAGCTAGTAAGCAACTGTATTACTGGAAGCCAACTAGCTATTTTTTTTTCCTCCAATATATTTTACCAAAAATCATTTTCTTTAAGTAAGTTTTTTTTTTTTTAAAGCATTTTAACAGGAGCAAATTTGCTAGTAATTAGATGAACCAGTCTTATGTCTTCCAGCACTCGGTAGCATGGAATTCATCAGAACTCTCATAGCATTAATTAAAAAGAATTTATGTTTTTTTAATAAAATGCTTCATGTTTTAGCTCCTTTATTCCTGCACCAAATGTGATTATGTGGGGGCTGAAGGGAATTCAGGTTAATATGTTGACACACTTAACAATGCAGGGTCATGTTGCACAATACGCTTCACTGGTTTGGTTCAGTACACCCCCTGACAGGACCTAATCATCCCCTGCCCTAAAGGCAGAGGGAAAGAGAGGATTTTAATTACTGCTCTGTATGCAAGTTTGCCAGCATTAAATTGAGACATAATTAGGCCTCTGAATTTTAATAATTGTTCTAGCTAATTGGGCAGACAAGTACGTTATGCGGCATGCCGTGATTAGATAATTAGTATTTCCAAATGACAAAATTGGGCTCTTGATTACAAATTCTACATGAAGGGGGAAAAGGTAGCAAGCCGATCTTTACAAGTCTATTAAGGGAGAGTTTAGCGATGTTGGTAATTTAAAGTTCATTAGGAAGCCATGTTTCACTCTCAGAGTTGGGTGTCTGGGTCAGGGCCTCTGTCCTACTGTGCCTTCCACTTAAGGCTCCTCCCCAAAATGCTCTGCTTTGTCTCTGTTCTACAGACTTTACCCTCTCCCCAGCTCCCCCCGCCCCAGCTTAGTGGCCATCACTGATCTTAGCTACATTGGCTTAGCTGGATGGTAGATGATAACTCTGAAAAAAGAAATCCTAAGGTACAGAAAGAGAATAGAGGCGATCTCCCCAAGTCAGGAGTATTTCCACTGTGACTTTCTCTTGCAAACAGCTGTTTCATTCATTCATTCATTCATTCATTTATTCATTCATTCATGTTTTGAGACAAGGTCTCAGTATGTATCTCAGGTTGACCTGGAACTTGCTATATAATCTACTCTGGCTACTAACTCATGACGATCCTCCTGCCTCAGCCTCCCAAAATGCTGGGATTATAAGTGTGAGCTACAGTGCCCAGCTCGTCTCTTTTAAACTTCACCCAGAATCTACCTTTTTCAATTTATCATTAGTTCCACTAAAATAGTTTTTGTGGAAAAATATTGTCACAATCTTAAATTTTTGCTGGGCAGTACATACCTGTAATCAAGAGGATCACAAACAACCAACCAGTAATCACTATCACTTCAAGTTTCTGAGATATTACTACTAGAGTGAAGAGCATGGGCGTTCAAGACTTGTCATGGTTTGGCTACAAAATGTCCCAAAAGCTATTGTGTTGAAGACTGGGTCCTGCAGTTGTGATTAAAGGTGAATGGATCCTGAGGGTGGTAGAGGCTCTGAAGAAGGAGGGCCTGGTAGGCAGAAGCATTATCTTGTCCCTGCCCTGCCCCCATGGCCATGAGTTGTGCAGCTTTCCTCTGTTATGATGTTCCAGCCTTGCCCGAGACCCATAGCAATGGAGTCAGCTAACCATGTGCTGAAACCTCAGATGGAACTTGTGAGCAAAAAGAAATTCTTCCTCCCCAGTTGTCTTAAGTGTTTTGTTACAGCAACAAAAAACTAATGAATACAGTCTTATCTTGATTTGATAAATTACTTAATCTAAGTCTCATTTTTCTCATTGGCAAAACAAAGAATGTTATCTTATTGAGATTGTTGATAGGATTAAATCAAATAATGTATGTAATTTATAGTATGAAATAAGTGCTCAATAAATATTAGTTATGAGTCAAATGCAAATGAAATCAGTAAAGATGAAAGGGACAATGTAAAGGTACTTGGTCTGGCTTTTTGCTATACCAGTTTTCAGTCTTCAGATGAAACGAGACTCCCCAGTCCTGTTATTTTCCGAGAGGGACATGGAGCCTCTTATGCTGAGGGTAGCCTCATTGGTTACAACTGGCCCTGCTATCTAAATGCCCAGGTTTCCTTTCTACCCATTCTTCAAGGGTTGCCAGTGCAGAGAAGCCCTGCCATGCAGAAGTAGTGGCCACAGTTAACCGAAGAATATGCATTCTGTCTCTTACCTTCTCATACTGACTTAATCCGCGAAAATACCACAGTGACATACTTCTAGGTATTTAACTTCCTCATTATCGGCATTCAGTAGACTCCAAAAAAATGAAATCTTAGAATATGTAAGAAATCATAGATTTGTAAGAAATAGAAGGGGCTCTAGAGTTACGTTGTTCAGAAAAAAGATAGATCGGGGGCTGGAGAGATGGCTCAGTGGTTAAGAGCACTGACTGTTTTTCCAGAGGACCCAGGTTCAGTTCCCAGCAACCACGTGGCAGCTAACAACCATCTGTAGCTCCATTTTCAGGGGATTCAATGCCCTCTTCTGGCCTCTGTGGACATTGTATGCACATGGTTCACTTACATATATGTAGGCAAAAGTCGTCTTATACACATAAAATAAATAAAATATTTTAAAAGATTAACAATGCAAATCAGACCCCTTCCAAAAATATTATAATTGGTTCATAGAGGATTGCTGCAAGTTTGTTATGGGAAATTCAGAATTTGTGGATGCAGATTCCTGACAAATCTGAATGAAGAATGAAGATAAGGAAAATAACAGTGTCTCTATGGTTTCCTACAATCTAAACATCCTACTTAGCATTTCTTATGGCTTTCTTAAGGTAGTATGGCATAGCATTTATAAATGATGAAGTAGTTCTAGTAGGCTTGACAGCACCTCTACAGGACTCCAGTCCCTAAAGAGTAGACAGTAGACAACACCTTCAGGCCTTGTGGGGAGAACAGACACCTTGTGTGGAATGCAAACATTCTGTGAGAAGTTTAGACAGAAACAGTAAGGTGTTCTAGGGGATGGGACATCAATCCATATGCCTAATCTGAATTTCCATAATAAGGAAAACTCACCCCTGGGGATTGCCATTCTCTCCCTAGTTCAAGCGACTGCTCCTGGGGTCATGCCTTAGAGAAGTTGGTGCAGAGCTCTTGCCCAAGCTGCACTTTTCATTTGCCTAGAGGAAGCATCAACTGAGGGAGGGAGACCGTAACTGTCATAAGGATTTTTTCCTTCTGCCACACAATGCTGAAGCTTCTCTCCCTCTCTTTTTTGAAGAAGTGCATTTATGACTGATCGCTCAACACCTTGTTGGTTCTGATTGCAGAAAACACACCTTATAAATATATGATAACCATCCTGTAATAGAGAGTGTGACAATTTACTTCACAGTGCGTTTCGGGCTGCTAATTGATCGTTTCAGTCCAGGGACGGTTTGGAATAAATTATAGCCATCAAAAGGATATCACAGCTCATTTTGGTGGAAGGACTTCCACGTCGCTTCGCGTTCGTCTCCTAGAGAGGGCCGATTGCACCCTGCGGGGCGGAGAGGCCGGCTGGGTGGGGGACAAGGGAAAGGAGGGCAGTGGGCTGGGCCTCCGCGGAGGGGGCGTGGTGGCCCTGGGCGTGGGCGTGGCGGGCCCGGTTGTGGGCGGGGCCAGCTCTGCGGAGCCGCGTCTCCAGGAGGCTGCAGCTCCGCGGCCGGACAGTAGAGGCCTCCCTTCTGCGGAGGTGACTCCGGGCGGCGGGCCTCTGCGGGCTGGAGTTCGGCTCCCTGGTGTGAACCCGCGAGTCCTTCCCACCGAGGCGCCCGTGAGGCCGGCCCGGCGCGGCGTTCCCCGGCCGCGGTCTCCCGCTGCAGGCGGCGGCGCCCGGGTGTCTGAGGTGAGCGTGTCCCCCGGGCAGAAGGCCCTGCTAGGGGCGGGTGCTGGCCACCCCTCGGCCCCCGGGTGCGGTCGGGTTAGCGAGGCGCGCGGCGTCGCGGTCCCCTCGGCGCCTCGCTGTGAAGCGGGGTGACTGGTTCTCGCGCGGCGGCCAGGAAGCGGCTTGTGGCGGGCGCAGGGCCTCGGCCGCCTCGGGGCCTGTGCGAGAGCCGCCCAGGCCGGGCCTGAGGGCCTTGGACCCCGAGCTGTGGGAACCGTGCCGCGGCCACCTCCGAGTCACCCGCGCTTCTCCATGGCCGCGCCGGGGTGTCTGGGTCCTACTCAGCCCCGCAGCCGGTCGTGACCCTGGGCTACCCACGGCTGGTCCCGCCCTCCCAACCCTCACCTCCAGGAAAAGTGTGTGGTTACCATGGAGAAGACAGACCCAAAGGCCTGTCTCTCGATGGGATTCGGATTGGGAAAAAATCTTAGCTCGAACCCTTGTCTATATGGCGGTCCACATCCTGGTCCAGGACAGCTTGCATCATTAGTCTCGTAATCAAAGCACAAGCGGGAGCAGTTCCCTTCGACCCCAGGGGCCAGTCCCCCAGTCTATCCCGAGCTCGGCGCCGGTCTCGTGGCCTCTCCGGGTGCTTTAGTCCGGTCGCGCTGATGCATCATGTGTCTAGGTCAGGGGTGTGCAGGTGACAGCACTCACCATACTCCGCTATCAGGAAGTGCAATGGCAGTGTTCCAGGAGGACGTTCATATAGGAAACCAGTTCTCGACAGGGTATCATCTTACAAGAAGACATCTGAGCCCATCAGAGGCATTTTCATTCACACACTAAATATATTTTGTTTGTTTGACATCTTTCAGAATACTGAATGAACTAGGGGCATTTATCGTTTTGTAGTATTTATCAGTGCACTCACAACAGGCCCATAGGAAGGAGCAGGGTTTTCTCTTATTCCTGTTCTATTCTATAAACTGAGGAACAGATGTTATGTGAGTTACTGAATAGTCCATGGTAAATTAGAGAGGTCTATGAGACCAAACATTTTCTAAAAGTGGAATAATTGGGAAAGCCAAGCACAAATATAAATGTTTTAGGATTGACTTTATTTAGTTACCTGAAGTTGTGTTTCCATGGACCAAATCCTGGGGGGTGTTAATTGTGGGTGTTTTATAGAGAACTATCTATTGGCCCATGATATGTTTTTCTCTTCATCTATCCTTTCCTTATTTATTGGTTATTTATCATAGGTACTCTACTCCACTTTGCCAATAGCATGGTCACTATGTAGCTAAAATATGTATATTTTCCTGGTTATTAGAAACTCAAGGAATATAATTAGGAGAACTTTTAAAACTAGGTTCTTTTATTTACACAAATGGAAATTCTGCTGACCAAGGGTATAAAATGTGTTAGGAATCAGAAAACTTTCTCCAGCTTGTCTCCTGAATTCATAGTACCATGAGTTTTTTTTTTTTTCTCCAAAAACTTTTTAAACAAAGTTTAAAAGACTTAAATGACTTAAGGTGCTTATAATATTCCTCAGTTATTTTAGAATGCAGTTTTCCTGAAAAGGTTTTGTCCCTTATATGGTGTGCCGACTGACTAGTTATATATGAGTGGAAGCACCACATTAAAAAAATTTTTTTTTGAATTTTTGTGTATTTCATACAGAAAATCATCTTTATTCCCTCTTCCCCTTTGGCCCCCCCCCCCCCCAGAGCCTACCACTGGAGTTCATACATTCTGTCATTTGTGTTAAGGCCTATCATGTATAGTGTCCCCTGATATCCCTCAGTGCAAATTCATCCACTGGGATTTAGTCAGCCTATCTAGAGGTTCCCCCCAACCCTGCCCTTTAAGAAGATCAGCTCTTCCTCACCCGGCAGTAATGAACTGCCAATAATTCTTTGACTAGGATTGGGGTCTGCTGCTCATTTCCACAGTTCTGTGCTGGGTTTTTGTCTGCCTAAGTTTGCATGGGGCTTGCAAAGCACCATATTTTTTATCAAAACTGAAGCCACTTATCTTTGTCTTTTAGCACTAACTCAAAATAAGAATTGCACACAATTAAGTCAAGCAAACAGAATACATCCCAAGTAGTCCTACGCATACATCTGATTAAATTAGTTTAATAAAAATAGGAAAACAAGCTGGGCATGGTGGCACACGCCTTTAATCCTAGCACTCAGGAGGCAGAGGCAGGTGGATCTCTGTGAGTTCAAGGCCAGCCTGGTCTACACAGTGAGTTCCAGGCCAGCTGGTGCTACAGGGAGACCCTGTCTCAAAAAAAAACCAAAAATAAAAAAAAAAAGAAAGGGAAAACATGCTTAATATATTTATCCCAATGATTTGTAGTTTATAATTTTTCTTGGACAATACTTGAACTCATTCTGCTTTTAAAAAAAAAAGTTTTATTTATTGTGTGTGTGTGTGTGTGTGTGTGTGTGTGTGTGTGTGTGTATGCAGGTATCCCAGGAGGCCAGAGGCCAGTTAACCTTCAAGAACCAGTGTTCTTAACTGCTGAGCCATCTTTCCAGATCCTTGAGAT